GTTTAATTATTTTAATTTTAATTTTTAAATTTATATTAATTTAATTTTAATTTATAACTTACTTAAAATTTTGTTATATTTAAATTTTTATTTTATTTCATTTTCTTCAATTTTTAATTTTATTTTAGGTTGTTATTTAAGTTCTAATTAAATTTAAATTTTTAATTTTTTTATTTATTATTTAGATTCTAATTTACCTTTCAATGATTAATTTTATATTAATATAAATTATAATTTTTTATTTAACTTTTAATATTATTTTAATCTAATTATTAACTTAATTTCATTTCTAACACTTAATATAAAAAAAAACTTTTATCTTTTAATTTAATTTGATTTTAAATTTCTAATTTTTTATTCGCATTAATTACTATTATAAAATTATTGTTTTATTTGTAAAAAAATTTTTAATAAGCACGAATTTATAATCTTTTCAATCCTGAATTTGTAAATTAAAAATAATTTGTAAATTATATATTATATTTATATAATATAAATATTTTATATATATATATTGAATGAGAAATGATTTTAGGATAGCAAAAAAATCAAATAACGATTACAGATCTCTCTAAACATTAAAATATTATTCAATCTCATCGACCATTACATGTATATTAATCTGAATAGTAAATTTACTAAATGCTTTAGGATTTTTGGGAATTGATAAAATAAATGTTGCATGATGATATGAATTTTAATTTAAATTCAATTGCCACGATTAGTAGTAAAAATTATTATTAGCAAACAAAATTAAAATTACTCACTATTACCCATTATCAATTTTTTCTTTATTTAAAAAGTTTTATGTTATATTGTACTGTTATTCCCAATTGATCACTATGTGCATTTTAATTTATAGATACAAAACGGTCCCTTATATTTAAATAATCAATAATTGATTTTCACGTAAAATGGCATTTAGAATATCTTAATACAATAATAGTTTCAATTTAGAAAACTAATATCACAGAAATCTAAAATTTTTTTAGTTACTTTAGAAATCTAAAGTTTTAGTTTATAAAAATATATCAATTATTTACTATCGTAATAAATTGTTAAAACGATAAAACGATAAAAATAATAAAGATACATCAATTTTTTATCATAATAAATTATTACGATGTTATAAATTAGTAATAAAAGTTAAAAAATTATTAATTTATTCGTCGTTGTACTCGATAAGTCAGATTTGGCGCAATCGGTAGAAAACGTACGTTTTCGTCAAACTTCGTGACACTGGCAGCGATCTTTTACATACATACGATGTGATAGAGTGATCACATTTCAATGAACAAGATCATTGATATTTTAACTAAATTTTTATAACATTTTTTTAATCATTTATTGTGAATAATGAAATAAAATTTATTTAATACATAACTGTCGTATATTCTTTTATTTTTTAATTAATATTTACTTATCGCTTCATTTATTTAATCATCTGCACATTCATTTATTTAAACATTTATTTTATAATGTAGTATTTCTTAATATATAATTTTCACTCATTTATTTATTCACTTATTCTTCTACCTATTTATTTCTTTTTTTTTTTAATTTATAGTTTATTATTTTAATATATATTTTGTTTATTTATTCATTTATTCTTTCATCTATTCATTTCTAAATTTAGTTCTTGATTTATTCTTTAACTTCTACTTATTTATTTATTCTTTTATCTATTCTATATTTATTTTTTGATTTATTTTTTAATTTAGTTGAATGTGAGTCTCGATATAATTATCATCTTGCTGGTAGGTGATCACTTACCCAGTAATCTGTTTCCAATTCTTTTTTTCAAAATTTTGTCCACGTCAAAAAGAAAATATTCATTTCGTTAAAAAATTATTAAAATATTTTAAGCTTAAAAATATTTCATCATTTATTATGCTGGAAATCGATTGCAAGCCAAGAACTACGCATATATGCACTCTAAACTTTGCGCGATTAATTATTTTTCTCAGTCATTACATCGGATTATGCATGTAAAATTTATAGAATATTTTGAACTCTTTCTTACTAAGCATTGCAATTCTTGATATAAATTAATTATATAATTTATTTTTTTCGCTTTAAATGAAATGAGAATATATTTGTTATGTGTTATAAATTTAAGATTTACATTATTATTAATAATAAGTAATAATAATAAGTAAATTAATATAGATGAAAATAATATATATAGATATAAATTAAGTCTCGTTGTTGTCACAATGGGGTTAATTGCTATTTTAAAGCGATAAATTGCTATTGTAAAACATTAATTTGAAATAATGAAATGAAATAATGAAATGAAATAATCATTTCATTCCGAATTAATTTTTCTTTTCAGATTTATTTAATTTTTATTTCTTATTTCTTCTTCTTTCTAATTTTTTTCATAATTTATTTAACATTAATTATTAATTATAATTCATTTCGATTATCAATTATTTATATTTTACATTTTTCTAATAAATTTTAATATTCATTTAATATTAATTATTAATTTTAATATTTCATATTCAATTTATTTATGCGTTCTTAATATATTTAATTTTTGTTGCATTTAATTTTTTAGCGTTAA